CAGTTCATGTAGTTCCCGAGATCGCTTTCCCGCCAAAAAATCTCCATATTTTTTTAAAGCGTCCGTACACGGCACCCAGGCATCCACTGGGGATGAAATTAAAACATACGCCCAAAGTTTCAGCCTTCTAGCTTTTCTGGTTTTCAAGTTGAAAGTAGGTGACAGAAAGTGCGAATACACAGACACAGATACACAGACACACACACCGCCTCTTTCCAATATGCGTTTTTGCAGTTTACATATATGCAAAAACGCATAATAAACGGTTAAAAGAAGGATATCCAGTATCCAAATGCAGAAAACAAGGGCATGGGAAAATAAAACAAATAACAGTAATGCGCAATAATAACATTTATAATAGTAAGCAAATCTCCCTCAGTATACACTTTCTATGAAAGGCAGAAGCAGTTGAAAGTATTTCTGTCGATGATTCTTGTAAGGCTGTTGATAGAATTCTCCTTCAAGGACTGCTTAGAAAGAAACTAGTGGAGGGTCTTTCGAACGTGCTGACAGCAATTAGCATCAAAGCAGAAGTGCGAATCGTACAGGGATCGGTAGTTTCAGTGATGGGATTGAAATCTCGACCTGCAAGTACGACAGCGGTGGTATTCCCCACTGTGTCATTCCCGCAAATTACGAAAGAAATAAACCACGAAATAAGGAAAGTATGAATTAGCACTGGATAAAACCCTCTGTCAGATGATTTGAATCGCAAAACATATTTTCGAATAAAAGGCGGATATAGTTTGGGTAACTATTTGGCGTTAATAAAAAAGCGACTGATTCTTAACGTTATTGCAGCCTGCTAGCTCAATCAAGTTGACGAATCAGACACAGGACGATACAGCCAGCTGTACTGATACCCACCAGCTACCTTCGGAAGGATCTTGGGTGGCATCGACTACGGCGAGCGAAAGTAGTAAAAATACTGGTCACAGTCACAGAAGAACTCCCAGTGCTAAACGCTCACTCATATGCAATTACTGCAGTAAAACTTTTTCTTTTCCTTCGTCGCTGAAGGATCACTCAAGGAAGCACACTGGCGAGAAGCCGTACAACTGCATACAGTGCAATAAGAGGTTCGGAAGACTGGGAAGTTTGCGGGTGCATTGTAGAATTCATACTGGTGAGAAGCCATTCAAATGCTATCACTGCAGTTTGAGTTTCGGCCAGAAAGCACATTTGCGATCACACATGCGAACCCATACTGGAGAGAAACCGTTCAA